ATAAGGTATAAAAATACAGTAAGGTGTTATATATATACATTGATATTCCACACTATATCGTGGGACTACACCTGGAACTTAACTGCCAACAAATGGAATTTATATTTATTCCTGTGTTGGGGTTGTGTCAAGGATCCTACACTGTGATTCACTTCAGTAAACAGTGGCTCAGATTTATGGACTGCTTTTGAAAGATATGACTTTATTGTCTATAGCAGATTTTCTCAACCATTTCAACCTCAAAAATGTTTTTACGTCTCAGAGAACATCACTTAAAAATTATTAGATCTACAGCTTATGACACAATTAGTGTAATATGTAAGTTGCAAATATAACCATAAATAAATAAATAAATGTAAAATTTGGTATACCTAGTGACATGTATTTGACACCCAAAGTGCATTGTTCTCCTTATGCTCTCCATAATTATGAAATAAAATCAAACAATATTAAAGAGAAAAGAAAAGCAGACAGTGAAAATGATATTGTCTCCTCAGATTAGTGGTCAGTAAAGAAGGCCCTCCCTTACATTGGTGGTCATTGGAAAATTTCCTCCTACATTAGTGAAGTAGAGAAGTTCCCCCATATATTGATGGTCAGAGGGACAAAAGGGACACTTACATTGTTAGACAATTAGAGGAAGAATGTCTTTTACGTTAGTGGTTACATTTATGGTTGGTTGAGGAACCCCTACCAACCTTCGGAGGAACCCTAAGATTCTACAGAACCCTGGTTAAGAAAGGCTTGTCTATAGTATGGAAGACTCTGTTTCGTATATCCTATGTAGGATATCAAAAAATGAGGGTAACAAAAGCAGCTTTTTAAAATAAACTGTTATTATTGACTTCTAATATATAGAGTATGGTGCCTTTGAGTGGAAAGAACATCAAAGTCAAATGTAATCATTTTTTTTAAAATACGTAACAGTATTAATGGGTGTCTTTGGTCTGGATCGTATATCTTGAAGAGTGTCTAAACAAAAGCATAATCTGGGAAAAATATGTTTGCTTAATAGCAGTTCACATCTACACCTTCTTCCTAATGAGTCATTTTTTCCTTTTAAAACATTAGTAAACGCTGTTTTTTTTAGTTGTAGCACATTCGGATACCAGTGACACTTCCTCCAGCTCTCTAACTGAAAGCCTGTATGTAGGTAAGGGCAGAAAACTGAAGAAAGTGTCTGTAGGAGTCTGACATTACACCCGCAATCCACTACTTATGGATGAAATGCTTAGCAGGCTCCTCAAGCAAAAAATAATATATTCACATTTTTCCCTGCAAAAAAATGTGTATTTATTATTTTTTTGAAGGTGTACCTAGCTGGTAAGTCCCAGTGATCAAGATAAATACAGAGGGTGAGTCTACTAGCTGCCTAACTGTCATGTTGACCTTCTTTCTTAGAGTCACTGACTGGGAACAAGTATTTTTTTTTTTTAGTTACATTTTTATTTGATTTTCGTATATAAAAAAGAAATTTAATTCCATCATAAAGAAAAAAACATTTCACATAAATTCCATTATCCCCAAACCTTTCCCTTTTCCCTCCTCCCCAACCTCCCCCCACCCCTCCTCCCTACCCACCTTCCACATCCTCCCTCCCTATCTAAACCATTTCTCACACCTATCTATCTGAATAAAGTTTTTCTCTTTCTCTTATTTACCACAAAGACTCTCTTTTAATTTCTAAACTCTAAACTTTCCCCTCTACTCTAATCAATTCCTTATATATTTCTGAGGATTAAATTTCATCCAACTGAACCATGTTTTCCAAAATTTTTCTAATTTGTCCTCTTCCATATGATACAGTTCTTCCATTCTAAAGATTCCCTCTACTCTCTCTATCCAATCTCTAATTTTTGGTGCTTCATTAGCCTGCCAATACTTGGGAATCAAACCCTTTGCCGCACTAACTAAATGATACAATACTTTATTCTTATAAAATTCTAATGGGGGCTCAGAATAATAAAAAAAAGGCACTTCCATGGATCTCTCTGAAAAGTTATCTCACATATTTCCTGAATCAGTTTGGTTATTTCCTTCCAATAATTCTGTATTTTTGGGCAGCTCCACCATATATGTGCCATGGTACCCCTTTCTCCACATGCTCTCCAGCACAAGACTGGGAACAAGTACTTGATTTTCATGATCTGCACACTTGTTCCAGGTCCATGATTCAGAAAGTATTAACATCTGAGGGTCAGAATAACTGCCAGGCAACTAGCATTTTCAGAAGATGGTCAGAAATGGCAGTCCCTGTAATTCTCCCATGATGCATGCATTTTAAAAATAAAGGGTGTGCTTAGTGTTCAGAAAAAAATGTTAATGTCCAGATTTTGGATTCTCCAGCCTGCAGCATTACTGGACATTGTATGGTTCTAGTATACATTCTATGCTGAATTTTTGAGATTTACAGCAATGTTCCCTTTTAATTGCACATAATCAAACTGGATTCCGTTTTCTAACATCAATGGCTTTTATGAGTAGGAATATAATGACTTTTCTCTTAATGCTATTGTACAGCACTACTGTCAGTCATGGGATTAGTGACATCATGGTGTTCCATGGTAGCAGCTGGATGATTCATCTACTCTATTCTATTTACATGAGCCGCCTCTTCCTTCTACAGCCTCTAATTTCTGTGCAATGCACACATTATAGGACTTACTCATTGCTCTTTGGTTTTTATTACATCTCTTCCACAGAATTTACGCTGAGTTTAGATATGCTCTGAGCCAATTAAAATGTGCTTGACTCATTCTTCGAAAACCAGGATTTTAGATAAATAACAAGTATTTAAGCATATTCATTCATATACCATGCACTAATGCAAAAATGAGTCTATTTCACTGCTATCTAGGCTTGGCTGTGCATATGCAGACAAGAAATTGGGTGTCAACCCCAGCTGGATTCAAATATTTTGGCAGCAGTCCAAGTTATCATTGACTTCAACTCCAAGACCTCTTTACATGTAGTCTGTGGTGGGAGCAAGGCATGGTGAATCTTCCCCAGCACCACCATCGTGTACCGGCAAATGCAACTCCAGCAGCTTGATTTCCTCTATCTGCAGCCACGTTCATTTATAAGGCTCTGTCACTACCAGCTCACCACTAGCCTGCAACCTGCCCCTACTGTGCATACAGACCAGTGCAAACGTGAGAAAATGTATGCAGCAAATGCTGGAATTCTATCAAAATCAGGAATATTTCAACTTAATTTTGGCATTCTGCATTGGGAAGAAGCAGTGGGGAAGGCACAATTGAGTTGTTTTTTCTGTAGTTATTAAGGCTCCATGTACAGCTGATAAACTCACGTTTAGGAGCTTTTCTGCATTTTTTTCAGCAGCCCCTGAACTCTCCCTAATGTTTTCCTATGTGTCCATGTACACTATGTTGTTTACAGTCATTTACAGGCAGTTGAGTTTACAGTTGTTTTTTTGAACGCACCAAACTTGCATTCAGGAGTAGATTTTATCAGCCTTTCAAATGCCACTCATAAACGCGGCTAACCGCGTTTATAAGCGTTTGTGTTTGGAAATTTTTTTTAACCCTTCCATTTCCAGATGCTGTCCAGAGCCTTTTTTCATCATGAAAAATGCATGCAAAGCATTTTTGCCGATACTCAAATGGACCCGGTACCCCATACTTTGAGGTTTCGCATGAAAGAAAATATGTTAGACCAGCAATGGGCAAACTACGGCCCGGCGGACCTTTTAATCCGGCCCGCGGAGCGTGATAAAAAAAAAACAGCCAGGGCAGGCAAACATTGGCTGTCAGGATGTGTGTAGGCGGGGCAGCGTGACGAACGTGAGGGGAGCTAGGCTCCTCTCACAGTCCGCCCTGAAGACCGGAACGGCGCGGGAACACGGCGAGAGGAACACGCGGAGCAAAGGTAAGTAAATTGACACGGGGGGACACAGGGGGGACAGGGGGAATCAGCGTCATGAACATCAATAAATCCCGTCACAGATCCCAGTTAACTGACCAACACCTCAGATCTATTCTGCGAATTGCAACAACAAAACTAACTCCTGACTTTGATGCCTTAACAAAAAAGGGAGACCAACAACATTGTTCCCACTAAAATTGAAGGCACTATTTTATGAAAGAAATACATTGCATAAAAGTTTTGTAAAATAACTCTTTTTATGCTTTTCTACCTTAAATTAATCTAAACATTTAATGTTACAAATTTTAATTTAATTTATATTAATTCACACATACACATCATTCATCTACTCTTGGTCCGACCCCCGGGTCCAATATATGAACCCATTGCGGCCCTCAAGTCAAAAAGTTTGCCCACCCCTGTGTTAGACACTGCTGCAATAATTTCTGCACAGAAATGAGCTGGAACACATCCAAACACCACAAAAAAAAAGACAGCTAATCTCAACAAATACTGCTTTCTCTGCTTCTGCTCTCTCTATTTCTCTCAAAATATCTGAAATAGTTAATTTTTTACTGTTTTTCAGTGCATTCTGGGCATTTTGGAAGGTTTCCTGAGGTTATCTTTAAAAAAAAACGCTTCTAAACGCGGCTAAACAGACATTTTTTTTACCTATGTTTTCCAGCAGTCAGTTTCCATCGTTCAGAAGTGTCCCGTGTACATGAAGCCTAAGGGCTCATGTACACTGCAGCTGATAAACTCACATTCAGGAGCTGTTCAGCGTTTTTTTCAGCAGCCCCTGAATTCACCCTAATGTTTTCCTATATGTCCATGTACACATCTTTGTTTACAGTCATTTACAGGCATTTGAGTTTACAGCCGTTTTTTTTGAACGCAGAAAACTTGCGTTCAGCAGTCGATTTTGACAGCGTTTCAAATGCAAAACACTTGTAAACGCTGCAAAAAGCGGCATATCGCGTGTATAAGAGTTTGCATCTTAATTTTTTTTTTAACTCTTCCAGTTCCCGATGCTGTCCTCATGAAAAATGCATGCAAAGCAAAGCATTTCAAGGTACTTAGATGGACAAGACACTAAAAACAGGATGTTCCTGCCAAGCTTGTCACACATTGTAATGACCAATTCACACCTCAGACCTCTTCCACCCTTGAAAACAAAAGATATGTTAATGAGCATCACGCACCTCAGCTAATTTCAACACATACTGCTGTCTCTGCTTCTACTCTCTGTATTTCTCTAAAACAGTCTGGAACAGGGGCGGACTGACCATTTAGCCACTCGGGCACTGCCCGAGGGCCTGGGGTCAGTAGGGGGCCCCATGAGATGCCCCTGGTACCTTTCATAGGCTTTTTTGGGTGTGGTTTGAGTGTGGGCGAGGACACAGGGGCCCCATGATTTCCTATTGCCCGGGGGCCCCATGAGTTGTCAGTCCACCCCTGGTCTGGAATAGTTAATAGTTTAACATTTTTCAGTGCATTCTCGGCATTTGGATGTCTCCTGAGGTTATCTTTAAAAAACGCTTCTAAACGAAAACGCGCATAAACGCGAATGCAAGCGCGGCTAAACTGACGTTTTTAACCTACGTTTTCCAGCAGTCAGTTTCCATCGTTCAGAAGTGTCCCGTGTACATTGAGCCTAAGAGTGCAGAAAAACTTCAAATGGCTTCTGAGTGGTAGGTACGCTTACCTTCAACCTTTCTTCTTTAACAAAAAGTATTTCTATCTAGGTGCACATCAGGGGCGGGACTGGCCATTTGGAAACTCGGGCACTGCCCGAGGGCCCGGGGTCAGTAGGGGGCCCCATGAGATGCCCCTGGTACCTTTTTCATAGGCGTTTTTTGAGTTTGGGCAAGGACACGGGCCCCATGATTCCCTATTGCCCGGGGGCCCCATGAGTTGTCAGTCTGCCCCTGGTGCACATTGAGTGCCCAAAGAAAGAACAAAGAAAGATCATCACGACATAACAATCACATGACTTTATTCATCAAAAAGCCATGTGATAACGATAAACAAACCTTTGCCATACAGTGATAGTTCCCCATCACAAATGGTAACAGGGAACTTTGCAATGCTAATTTCAATAAGCAGTACCACATGGTGAATTGCGAACCTAATCACTTCTTTCGGAGCAAAATAAGTTTCGACAGGTTACTCATTTATACCTAGTGGCTATCTGAAAGGTACAAGTGACAGAAATGTAAGTGTGGAGGTACTATATGTTTGCCAGCAGAAAGGACAACATCTAAATAATAAATAAAATAAATCATATAGATCAAAATATTGTCACTTCTGATCACCTTTTCAATTAAAAAGCACAAGTGTATAGACACCATTATCTAAAGTCTTATCAAAAAGTTCATATTTACTGTATGTGTAGCACCCCTCCTCTTGGGGTGATGCTGAATGACCTTCTATGTGGTGTGGCAGGCTAAAATTGCCATCTACACATCTGTATGGTGGGGAGAAAAATAAAGTGGGCCCCAAAGAGTTTGGTTTTTCACTATTTATTACTGAATTCTTTTCTAGAAGAGAGGGCTTAGGAGTGTTGGATACCCAAAGAAAATACAACAAAATAGTACAGGTATTCTGGGAGTATCCCCTTTAAGAGACAGAAAAATCTATGACCCTGTAAAAGCAGTCACATTCTTTTTAAAGTTGTAGTGGACCTCTCTTTAATAGATCTGGATGTTGACCCTCTGATAGTAGTCAATGCAAACTCATTAAATGTGAATGTCCAAGAGTTACCCTTGTCTTACCCAATCCTATCTCACTCATTCTAAACAATGTCCCAGCGTTATTTTTTTATTTTATCTTTTTCCTGTAGTGACAATCTCTGCTCAGCACATAGATCCTCAATTTTATTCAGTGGAGACATTTCCAGACAAGTTCGGGATCCTCAATCACCATATTGTACACAGGTGATGGAGAGAATGGTTGTGTCTTCATTCCATATAAAACAGTTTCCCATCTAGATTGCAATTTGCTGCTTCTCTCAAACATTCAGTTTTTAACTAACACCCATTTCCCTGGTTGTATTGGCAACAACTCAAGGGTGGCATTGACTACTATATCCTTGTGTCCCTCAAAAACCACCTGTTTGCCTTTCTTCAGCTGCTCCCACTGTTCCTGGACCCATTTGTTGGGTGTGAGGGGGGGGGAATAAACTCTTTTGTATCTAGCCGTAAGTCTACTGGCAGCCGCCCACCACACCCAAACATCAGAAAGAATGGTGTGTATCCAGTTGCCCCATGCACTGTGTGCTTGTAAGCCCACACAACATCCCCCATATGTTGGTACCAGTGGTCCTGATGCCCCTGCTCCAGCGTCCATAACATGCTCAATAGCGCTTACAGACCCCTTTGCCCTGAGGGGGATACTTACTGATTTCACACAGAAAACACAGTTCAGAAAATACCTGAGAATCAAACTTAGGGCCTTGATCTGACAAAACTCATCTGGGGCACCCATAAGGCTATACTACATGGTTCCAGAACAGCTTAGCAGTTGTCACAGCATCACAATCACAATCTGGGTTTTTATTTTTTGATAAACTAACGAAAAAAGACCGAACATTTAAAAAAAAACACGTTTTTCTTTGCTTCTGTTATGAAATATTGCAAATAAATAATTGTTCTTCATACGTTTAGGCCAAGTTGTATTCTGCTACATTTCTTTGGTGAAAATAACCCAACTCAGTATTTGTTATTTAGTCTATTTAGTCTGTAGGAAAGTTATAGAGTTCACAAACTATGGTATATATCTGAAAATGTATCAATCCTTAAGTACTCACGGCCAATCTAATTTCTTGATGCCAAAAAATGTCTGCACAGTACAGATATCCCCCAAATGACCCCTTTTTGCAAAGTAGACAGTCTGAGGTATTTAGTAAGATTCATGTCGAGTTTTTTGAATTTGTAATTTTCTTGTCATAATTTTTTTGAAAATTAAGAAATTAACAAAAATGTTTTCACAAATTCTTTTTTTTTTTTACATACTGTCATCAGTGCAGTACAGCATCCTCATATAAACTGGTGTGATGATGATCAGGGACACTGACTGTTGACAGTACGAAAAAAAAATATTTTTTTTTTCAATTGTTTTACATTTTTTATTATTTTTCTTTTTTATTACTTTTTTCTTTTTTTAAGATTTTTTTTTTCATAATACACTGTAACCAGAGTAGTATAATGTTACCATAGTAACATTGTACTACTTTGGGGAAGTGATCAGTGATCGATTCATTCATGTTTTTTTCTGTTGTGATTAGCTGTGATTGGCAAAGGCTAATCACATGACACAGATGAGCTGTGATTGGCTCAGTCTGTACATGTGATCACTGTAACCAATCACAGCTACTGACACTGGGACAGGACAGGAAGAGAAGGTAAATCTCCCCGGTGGGACAGAGATGGCAAAAAATTAGCTAACCCTCCCTTACTCTAGCTAATAATATAAGCCAGTGAATAAGGACCCGGCATTCACAGTAACCAATAGGCATGGATTAACACATGTAAACCCCTCCAGAATCTGTAACAAATGCTTTGTATCTTATAGAAAAGCTTCTGTGGAGCAAGCCAAAGGTTGAATGAAAAAAATCTATATATTGACCCAGTCGGTAATTTATGGAGTCATGACCATTAGTTATAGGCGTGGATTTACAGTACTCATATGTCTATGGAAGATGGTAAATAATAGGTACCTGGTAGGCTGATGGTACTAAGTATTGTGCTTCATTTATCTTCAGAATATTCCCCCTCAAACCTTTTTCACCAGTTTCTGTAATTATCTTTCTTCTATATCCCATAGTGGGATTACTGTCCAGGATGTTATATGTGTTATGATCCTGTAATAAACTTTCCATTTCTTTATAAACTGGCTTAGTCATTACCACAATGCCACCTCCCTTATCGTCTGGGTAGATAATGAGGTCATTTTTATTCTCTAGATCCTTGATCCCTTTTTTAATCCAACTTGGATCAGCAGCTTTTTTTAATCTTCAGATTATCCAGGTCATTCAATACCATATTCTTAAAAACCTTAACAAATTTTTTACCTTCATTTTGTGGGTTAAATACAGACTTAATAAGTTTAAATCAGCACACATATATTATATATATAAAATCCTCAAAAATCCCTTAAAGACATATCAATATCCTTCCCCTGAAGTACTAATAAAATATATATTTATTGACTTAAACCCAAAAACCCACAATTATAGTGAAAATATCAAAACCCAAAGAGATTACCCAAAAAAAATAAAAAATATCAAATATATATAAAAGAACAAAAATAAATAAAGTCCCAGTATGCAAAGTGTCCAAATAATGTGTCCAAACAAAGATCAATTTCTTGATAGGAAGACGCTTCCTACTCCACTGAAGAAGATGCAAATCAATCACAGGTGCTCTTCAAATACCTCAAAAAACAAAATCTCAACATAGTATATTACCTTTTAAATCCCAGAACTAAAGTGCCACATGTGTATCATGCAAAAAAACACTCCAGTGTCACAGCACTCATGTGAGAGAAAAAAAAAAAAAATGTAAATTTTATAAATATCACTGCAAACTATATATAAAGTGCATAATTACCCTAAAACAAACAAATTCCAGCTTGTAATCAACCACATATGTACAGAGTGTCCTTAGATTGGTATCCTCTTGTTCCTCAGGACCTCACAAACAGACCAGGAATCAGTATGTGAATTATAATCATATATAAAATTTATTGTAGCCACTTACATATAAATACAGACTTATTACTGGCTGCTCTCAGCTGATGTGGATTGGGTAGCAGACTTAGTTAAAATGTATTGCACTATTTTCTTTCTGTATTATTTATGATATTGGTTATTAGTTCACAGATTTGTTTTGTTCACATAGATCAATATTATTGATGCACCTTTGTACATTTGCTTAACCTTTTAGGGTTAGGACTCACATTTTGATTACTTTCAGGTGTAGTGTTATGTGAGGCTAACTCATTCTCATCCATCCTTTTCTCCATTTAAGTACCGGTACCTCTTCATTTTTTTAAATTTTTGTTAGCCTCGCATAACAAAATGGGATCAAAATGTGAGCGCTAAGCCTAACAGATGAAAAGGTTCAGATCAGGAGATATATCCTGTAATGAGTTGTATGCAGAGACAGGACCAGAACAGTGGGAATAATAGAGAAAACAGCGGGCATCAAATAAGACAATTTAATACTTCTAATTAACAACATCTCAATCCAGAGAAAGGGAAGAGGCAAAGTCAATCCAAAGCAAGGGAAGAGGCAAAGTCAATCCAAAGCAAGGGAAGAGGCAAAGTCAATCCAAAGCAAGGAAAGAGGCAAAGTCAATCCAAAGCAAGGGGAGAAGCAAAGTCAATCCAAAGCAAGGGTAGAAGCAAAGTCAATCCAAAGCAAGGGGAGAAGCAAAGTCAATCCAAAGCAAGGGAGAAGCAAAGTCAATCCAAAGCAAGCGAAGAAGCAAAGTCAGTCCAAAGCAAGCGAAGAGGCAAAGTCAATCCAAAGCAAGGGAAGAGGCAAAGTCAATCCAAAGCAAGGAAGAGGCAAAGTCAATCCAAAGCAAGGAAGAGGCAAAGTCAATCCAAAGCAAGGAAAGAGGCAAAGTCAATCCAAAGCAAGGAAAGAGGCAAAGTCAATCCAAAGCAAGGGAGAAGCAAAGTCAATCCAAAGCAAGGGAAGAGGCAAAGTCAGTCCAAAGCAAGGAAGAGGCAAAGTCAATCCAAAGCAAGGGAAGAGGCAAAGTCAATCTAAAGCAAGGGGAGAAGCAAAGTCAATCCAAAGCAAGGGAGAAGCAAAGTCAATCCAAAGCAAGGGGAAGGGATTAATCAGGAAGCAGGGATAGATTTGTGCAATCAAATACAAGCGAAGAGGCTTCCCATTAAG